TCCCTTTGTAGGAAGAACTTTGTGAGAGCAAAGACTTTTGACTTTTCTTTATATTTTTATCCTTAGTTTTCAGAATAGTGGATAGCACAAGGTAAACTTGCATCATGTTAGTTTCATAAATAAGTAAATTAATTAGCAAACTAAATATGTACAAAGTTATCAACTTTGGTGGTGAATGAGACTGACTGAACTAGCAATGTATTCACTCAGAACTTTTCCACTAGTAAGTGGAGTTCTTCTAGGTAACTGATCTTAAAGTTTCAATGAAACACTTGTTAATCTCATCTTTTGGGAGTATTTGTTATTCTTCAGGACTGTTCAGTGTAGAGACCCATAGTCCTCTTCAGTAGCACAGAGAAGTTGCCTAGATTGCACTTTGTTTTTCATTGTATTCTTATGAGGATTTCAAGAAGGAAAAAATCAGCAAGTTTTTTGGTTTCCAGATAAGACAACTTACATAAATAAAGAGTTAAAATGGCTTAGACTTGAAAAAAGTGGTATTACAGCTTAATGTAAATAGAGAAAAAGCAGTTTTGAAAAATGCTAAATGCATTTTTAAAAGAAGCGTGGTGATTTCTTTGCCAGCAAGACACAGTAAAAGCTTTAAGACTAATATGTAAACTGATTTTAATAGGAAAGAAAGTCATCTTGCAATAAGAGCTTTGCTTTAGCTAAATGACCATAGAACTTAAGATTCTTGAAATAAATTCTGGGTGGGTTTGCATTTGTTAGAGGAGGTGTTTTGCTGGTTTTATGAATTTGTTTTGTTTTTACCTCCAAACTCTTTGTTAGCAACATTGGTTGCTCAGGCAATGCAGTTCTCTCTGCAATTCACACACATTTGGCTATTTGTCATATTGATTTATTAGCATTTCATAGAGAATTGGAGATGGTCTGGCCCAAGGTCTTTCCTGAGCCAGACCTGAGCTCAGGTCTCAGGACTCCTTGTCCTGTCCTCTCTCTTCCATATCAAAGGTCAGAAACTCAAGTGCCTAAAGAAGTCAGACCATGTTAATGAGCAAAGAGATTAATGAAGGAACAGTTCTCACTTCCACAGAGAAATTTCACCTGCATCTGTACTCTGTGGCTCAATTTCTTGTTCCTTCCTTTGCAGAGAAGTGTATCTTCAATGCAAGTAAAACATTAGTGGAATCATGATGATCAATGGATAAAACGTGGTGTGCCTTGCTGGGGAGTGGTGGGGAGCCTGCAACCTCTCACAGCTGGAGAGAGGAGGCCTGTGTGCAGGACCAGCCATCACTCAGCCAACTCTTGCCATGTGGGAAATAATTCTGCAGGAGAAACCAGAATCAGGACTTTAAGGGAAAGCTCCCAATTTAAAAATATTGGCTCGTTTTATAAAACATTATATATCCTAAATAAAATACATCTGTGGGCCAGACGCCACCTTGCACTACCCATTTATGATCTGTGCTTTCCACTGTTTTGAACTGTTGTTTCTCCATGTTCCTAGCACAGATGCTACCTTGACAAGGAAGGGCCCAACATCCTAAGTTATTCACCGTAAGGTGACTTTTCCATCTTGGTCTGAGCAAGACCTGCCTCCAACCATCTCCAGCTTCCTTCCTGTCCCAGTAGTGTTTAGCTTTCCAGCCCACTCTTCAGCTGTCTGCTCTTGGAGCCAAAATCTGAGAAGATGGCAGAAACAAGAAAAAGTTGCAGTTAGACTAGTTCTGTCAGTATATTTCTGAGGCAACCACTTGGCAATGACAGTCGTTGTTGTGAATCTGGTTATCTCATTGGGAAACAAATACGACTTGTGGGACACCATGTTCTTCTATACTGTGCTAAATGCATTAGAGATTAGAACACAAGTTCTAAGGTCAACCCTAGGAACAGACACTTCCAGACTGCTGAAGTGAGCACTCAGTGATTTGACAAACTGGTGTATCCTTTTTTAATCAGAGAGGCCTTTACCACCAAATGTTGTGGAAAATAAAAAGTACAGTGGACTGGGATCCTGTTCCCACAACCATTTTTACTTTTGGGCTATACCCATTCTTCTTCATAATAGATATTATGAACTGATAGCCACCTATACAATTGGCACTCACCACAACCTTCCCTATCTTGGAAATTTTATTGTCTCCTTTTTGCTGAAGTACAGAAACAAGGCTCTGAGAGTTTAAGTAACTTCTGAAGTTTTCACAGAAGATAAGGATAGACAGCAAGACTCTATGGCAAAGCCCTTGTTTTTTTTTTTTTCCTTATCTTAAAATGTGGGCTTGCTTATTATTTTTCACCTAAGCTGAGGCTAACAGACTGAGAGACAGTTGCCATTGGAAAGCTAGTTTGTTATTCTCAATTCCCTGGAAGAGAAGAAACCCTGACCCTGTGGCAGCATCAAGGTCAGTTAAGAGTCAAGAGAGAGGGAGCAACAACCTCAGGCCAGAATCTTTATCTAGTTTTCTTGGGAAGGAATATAGCAGGGTAGAGTAAGCAGGCTTGGTGTCGGTCACCTTGTATTATTTCAGCAGGCTCTGGGGGGTAAAAGGGCTGTCAGCTTGTGTCTGGTATATGGCTGGGATTAGAGAAACAGAAGAACCCCCATGCAAGAGCCAAGAGGAAGGCAGGGTACAGAGATAGGCTCTGAATTAGTTGTTTTTCATATGAAAAAGGTGGAAAGCTTTTCATCACCTTTAGGAGTTGGCCAGCCCTGGGAGAGACTGCCCCTCCAGAGTCAGCTAGGCCCCAGATGTCAAGGCATCCAGAAAACAGAAAACAAAAGGGCAGAATTATACAATCACATTGCCTTTTCTTATACTCCAAATTTAAAAGTCATCTGACTCTGATTTTTCTTAGATTCTGTAACTAGTCTGTCTCTAAGCTTGCTTTATTTTCCTCAAAATGGGTCTCATTCATTCATTTCAGATACCAGGCATTGTTCTAGGGACATATTGAGGCTATAATTTTGAAAGTGCCCAGAGTGCAGGATCAGAGACAGACTAGACACTAAGGATTGTAAATGAACTTGGTAAACACTGCAGTAGGGCAAGGACTCGGGTGTGGGCCCTGTACTCCCACTGTTGGCTTCTGATCCTCGCTGCATTTCCTGCTCACTATATCTTATTATCTCCCTCTTCTGCACACCCTGCTGGATAAATTTTCCTTATATTTTCATCATTTTGTTCCCTCAATCCAAGTCATTTCCTATGGCTCCAATTCAAAAAAAGTATGAACCGTTTTCTGACTTTCAAGATACACTGTCTATCCCAACTCCCCTCATTCAACCATATTTCTTCCACTATACTTATTCTCTAATTTAATATGCATTTACGCTGTGACTAATATGTGCCCATCACAAATAGATACAAAGGTGAAATTTGTTAAGAATTACCGAGAAAAAAAGATGTAGTGTTATGTAAGCATGCTGTATGCTTCCATGGTTCATTCATCCCACACTCATTCCACAAATATTTATCAAACCCCTGTAAGATGCCAGGAGAGCAGATAGTCCAATTCCCTCCATCCTTACAACCATAAACGTTTTTTCCATCTTCATGTCTCTACAATTGCCAAATGATGAATGACTACCTTACTTTATGCTACTAAATATTGTATTATTCCTTTTCACTGTGTCCCAGAGCCTGAGGACTGTTCCTGGTACTTTAGTCATCCAGTAAATACTAAATAATTGCATTCATGGCTACACTACACATGTCCTCCTGTAAGCTCATTCAAATCTCCTTCCTCTAAGTACCTCCCATAAAAAAAAAAATAGCATCAAAAGTAACACCTTTAATTATTCATTAATGATCTCAGTGGGTTCATCTTGATGCACTCCCAAGTTTACAAATTCTTTGAGGGTCTAGAATATGCCTCATCACAGTAACCCAAAGTTGAACGTCTAGGAAGTAAATATTCAAAACTTACATGATTTTTTTTCCCATTGGAATGGCCAATGGTTGTTAATTTGAAACATTTTCATAAAACTACACCAATCCAATGGAACTTTAAAAGGAGGCTATTTTAGAAGGAGGCTGACAGGTCAAGGAGGTTGTTGAGTTCAAAGCAGTGACGAGCTCAGAGTCACACAACGGGTGAGAACCAGAGCCAGATCCCAGAACGAGTATTTTTATACAGCCTTGGCTCTCCGGAAACATGCTCAGAGAGCCTATCTCTAAAATAGCCAAAATCACCAGTCTGTTCATGGTTTGAATGAAAATAAATTCCTCAGAATGGTTGTTTAAGATTCCTAGAGACTCAAGTAAACATGGACAAATGCACATCTTGGGTTCAGGGACCCCCAGCACAGTGTGGCTGTCGCAGCAGGAGGAGCAGAGCTGGGAAGCATTGCTGTTCCCAGTGCATAGGACAAGCTGTTTTGTTTAGAGCCATCCAAGGGATTAGGAATTAAATCCTAGATGTTTGATTTCAGATGAGAAGATACTATCTGCAGAGTTCAGACATTTCTGTCCTTGGAGAGCTGCCCTGGTTTCCCCTGGGACAACCTTTTTGTTCAGGGAGGTGCTCTTGACAGCTCTGCGGCACCTCATATTTTTTAAACTGGGATTCCCTCATTGTACTCCTTCCCTCTTCCCCTCCATCACAGCTGCTACATTAGTAAAACACACTGAGTAATTCAAGGTTTTGACACTGCCCTGGAGTGACTGCCTGGATTAGGAGGGGGAGTGATGTGATCCAGCCATTGTACTTTTAACAGCCAGACCCCCCACATTGAACTTGAGTTACCCTTCCTTCCTCATTCCTCCTTCATGAACCTGATGCTACCTGCTACTACCATGTTAGCCTTGGGATTTTCATTTCTTCTCTTTAAACCTTTTTGTTTTATAAATTCCAGAGGTTGACACTACTTTAAGGAAAGCTAGTTCTGAAAGAAACAAATTATTCTTTTAATGTTCTTGGATTCTCAATGGACAAAGAGCTGGAAGAAACATATTTTTTAATGTATCCTTTCTACCTTAAACATAGATTAGAGGAGCTAGCTATAAAACTGACCCATTACTCTTATCTTTCAGATAGACCATCTGGTGCAAGGCCACCCTGCCTTCCCTGAATTGCAAGCCAAGGCCACAGCCAGGTAACTACTCTTTTTTCCCTACAGCTTTCTATGTGTGACTGCATAGGTAATATTCATTTTGGATATTTCATGACCTTCAGATCCTATGGACAGTGAATACATCTGACAGGACTTGGTTATAAAATACTCAGTTATTCGGATGGTCCAGAACATCGTTTATGAATTTTTAGAAAGATCTGAGACAACTCTGAGAACCTAAAGATCCTATAAGAATATGCCCAGGGCTCTGGATGAAAAACTCTGATGTAGATGAAAGTGTCTGGATTTTAGAGTCAAAACTTCTTGAGTTCATATCCCAGCTTTATTTTTTACTAGGTATGTGACCTTGCACAGGTTATTCAACCTCTTTAGGTCTGTCTCATTACTTACCTGTAAACAGCATAGTAGCTGATGTGGAGTGGTTTCTGGGACATATTAAGTAAAACTAAGTGTAAAGCAGTGTTTACAACATATTCTCTTTCAAGAA